AGGTGTCCCTGCCCATGGCAGGGGGTGGAACTGGATGAGCTTTAAGGTCCCTTCCAACCCCAACCACGCTGTGATTCTGTGATTCTAAACGTTCTAAACGGGAGCACAAGTTGGGTGACAAACTGCCCTTCAACTAAAAACCTGTCCTTTAACTCCAGTTCTCCTCCTGTGACCCCCAGGCAGAACTACCCAGCACTGGCAGTGGTTTTGGGCACCGAGACAACCACGTGCACCCCGAGTTTCAGACAGGTGTGGACAATACATTTCCCAGGAGAGGCCAGAAATAGCAGGAGAGAGGTGGGCCCTGCATGCAAAGGACTTTTTTTGGCATGACAAAGGCACGAGGAGGTGCAGAGAGATGATGGGGCAAAGATGGGCTTGGCAGAGCAGCAGTGCCAGGGTGTGTGGCAGCAGAGGTGACACTTCCCTCTCTCAGGCCACACGTGCCCCTGCCATGGTTGCACAGGTATTTGCCAGCAGGACCTGCCCAAGGCACTAAGACCAGGCCTGTGGGTGAGCTGAGCTTGAAAGGGGACCAGTGAAAGTGGAATTATGCAGAGGTGGCTGGTGACAGCAGGGAATGCTCCTGACACACGTGGGAGCCATCCTTCCTTCCTCCCTTCCTTCCTTCCTTCCTTCTTTCCTTCCTTCCTTCCTCCCTGCAAACTCAGCCCAGACTAAGAGCAAACATTCTTTTCCAAGAAGTCCCTTTGCAAGGATCCAGTGGTGAGGGCCTGGCACAGGCTGTGAACTCCCCATCCCTGGAAGTGTCCAAGGGCAGGTTGGATGGGGCTTGGAGCAACCTGGGACAGTGGAAGGTGTCCCAAGGAGCAAAATGGTCTTTAAGGTCCTTTCCAACCCAAAGCATTCTGTGACTCTAGGATTTACTCTGCATTTGTGTCAAGGTCTAAAAACTCAGCCCTTAATCTTTTACCTGCCTTACCCTCTCCAAAATCTTAACAAAGCAGCAGGAGAACAAGAGAAACCAAGGCCACCTTCTTCCACATTAGACCTCTTCATACAGATGTTTTTTGTTCCTTAGGTATTAAATGCTGGCTGGAGAAGCTCTGCTGAGTCTCCTCTGTACACGTGAGAACAGGCACCTCCACCCTCCAGTATTTTTAATTACTTGGAGATCTGCAGGGCTGTTGATGTTATAAAGAACAGCTCGGCCCAGACAGCCAGGGGGGAAGAAATACATGCATGTCAGTCAAATTCTTCTTTTTATGAAATTGGTTTCTAAAAAATAGCATTGCCCTTTCCTACTTGTGACTCATGAAAGACTGTGGCCCTATTAATAAAAAAATGTCCATTCGAAATCACTGCAAAAGGTGTGGCCTTTCCCAGCAACTATTATCCAAAAAATCCTGTGTACTGAGCCATTTCTCATAGACAGAGAGCCACAATGACATACAGGCAGTAAGAGGGGCTGGATCTATAAGCCAAGAAAAATCTATGAGCCAAAAAAAAAAAAAAAATCACTTTCCTTTTGTCTCCTTTTAAACAACAAAGCCCTTGGAAACTGTATCTGTGTAAGATAGGCACTTGCTGGCTCTCTCCTCTTCCTCTCAGATCCAGAATGTATCCTGGTCCTGCTTTGGGTTGTCTCTTTTTCCTCAAAAAGAGCTGCAGACCTGGACTTTTCCTCCACTGCTTAAATCACTTCCAACAGGGGTTTCATGATGGGTATTTAATGAGACATTATTACAGCTAAAAATCACACTCTCCAGCAACACTGCTGTTGCATTCTGTGAAAATCAAATCAAGCACAAATCTTTGGCGTGGTTAATGTACACCCTGGACATTAATCCCAGAGAAATCTCACAGAAATCCAGGGCATAATCTGAAATTATGTGATAGGAGATCAACCTCCTCCTTTTGAAGTTGCTGGAATTCACCAGTGCTTGTAAAGAGCCTTTTTCTCCTGAAATCTGTGGTTCCAACAAGGGAACATTTCCCAGGAGTACAGCCAGCAGAGCCAGATCTATTTTTAAAACTTCTTTTAAAACTTTTTAAAACTACCAGTTCTTCTTTTTTTTTTCCCCTGCAAGGAATATTTTGGCCACGTAGCTGCAAAACAGTTCCTCTTCCAGGTGTGTTCCAGGTGTGTCTCTGAGCTCAGCGGACATTCATGGGAAGAGCTGCATGGGATCCACCTGAACCCTTATCTCCAGAACACACAATGGAGGGTTTGTTTTCCTGGGCATATTTTGGATATTCCATGGCCTGTGGGAAGAGCAGGACCAGCCAATTTTCACTTGAGGCCAGCTGTGGTGTTCTGATAGTCAGGCCATTTCCAGGTCTGGATGGATGGGCCTTGCACAACCCCAAAATAAAGATAATGGGGTTTTTTTTTAAGCCCAGCATTAACCATATTTCCCCTCCCTGTCCTGCTGAGCACGGTGAGCCCTCGGGGGAGCCCCGCCGAGGAACGCTTTCTTCTGGGCGTTCGTTTTAATTACAGCCCTAATTATTTTGGTGCACGGGGATGACCCAGTTAACAAAACCCATCCTGGGCATCTCGTGGTCTTCTCCACCCCTGTCCATCTCTGCGAGGAGGGAACCTCAGCTCCTGGCAGCTGGGAGCAGAATTATTTTTGAAACAAAGCGGTCGGACTGGTTGCCACATCTTTAATGATTTTTTTTTTTTTTTTTTTTTACAAAGGCATTTTCTATGTATATAAACAGCCCTTCCTCCCAAACCTGGTTAGACAAGAATGTTCCTGGGTGTGGACTGCCTTGTATAATTAACTGCACAGCTGTAGCTTCTGATCCCTCAACGTCTGCTCCTCTCTTCCCCCCTGCATCTCCCCGGCATAATCCAGGCGTTCTCCTCCTCCCCGCCGGCAGCTCCAGGTGCGTCATTTGGGCAGAAGGTTTCCTGCATTCCAGAGCCATTCCCTGCTGAGACAGGGCAGAGGAACCCGCTTTGGAGGGGGCTGAGAGGCAGGAGCTGGAGGAGCAAGGAGCGAGCGCAGGAGCCACTTGCCCTGTTTAGACCATGGAAACGGGGAGTGCAGCCAGGACCAACGGGACCGCCGGGAAGGCCGAGGACGTGAAGAGCCCGACCACCCCAAAGAAAGAAGAAGAAGCGAAGAAGGCGACGAGCCCTGGCGGGGCTGAGAAAGAAGCTATAAAAGGCACGGGCGGTGCTGCGCTGGAGACGGGGCAAATCAAGAGCTCCCTCTTCTCTGGGAGTGACTGGAAGAGGCCCATCATTCAGTTTGTGGAGTCATCCGATGAGAAGAGGTCAACCTACTTCAGCATGGACTCGGCTGACTCCAAGAAGATGCAGTATGCCAGCGGACAGATCGGAGACATGAGGAGGCCAGCCCTCTCCTTCCCAGAGAAAGGCGACCTCAGGAAGTCCCTCTTCTCCTTGGATTCCAAAAAGAGCTTCCTGCCCAGCGACGGGGAAGGGAGGAAGTCCTTGTTCTCTGGGGGGCAGATGGGGGACCTGAAGAAATCTTCCCTGCCTCTGGTGGAGACGGGGGACCTGAGAAGACCCTTCAACAAGCCGGACAGAGCAGCTGGGTCACGGCCCAGGGTGAAGCTCGAGGATGTTCTGTGCGACTCCTGCATCGACAACAAGCAAAAGGCTGTGAAGTCCTGCCTGGTGTGCCAGGCTTCCTTCTGTGAGCTGCACCTCAAGCCCCACCTGGAGGGAGCAGCTTTCCGGGACCACCAGCTCCTGGACCCCATCAGGGACTTCGAAGCAAGAAAATGCCCTGTGCATGGGAAGACCATGGAGCTGTTCTGTCAGACAGACCAGATGTGCATCTGCTACCTCTGCATGTTCCAGGAGCACAAGAACCACAGCACAGTGACAGTGGAGATCGAGAAAGCAGGGAAGGAGGTAATTAATTCTCTCTTTGTTTCGTGCTCCCATCGCTCTCTAGATCTCGATGTGACACCCCAGCCTTTGCTCTCCAGCCTGCAGTCTCTGCTCAGGCCATGTCTGTGTGGAATCCTGGGATGCAGGGGTGGTGGATGGGAAGTGTTTAGCAGAGGACTGCTATTGCCTGGGTGCTGCTGTGATGGGATTGTTGTCCTCCTGATGGCTGGCTGCAGCAGCACAATGCTGGTGGTGTGTTGCAGATTTGATCTGGGGGATGGAGAACGTGGTTTCCACCCCTGGTTGCACACCTGACTTTAAGCAGAAGCTGAATCAAAGCCCTAGAAAAAGCCAGTCTGGAGTTTTGACAGTGTTTGTGCAGTGTTACCCACAGCCAGAAAGGTGGGCATCAGGTTCCTCCAGAATACAGGTGGTCAGATCAGAGGGTTGAAGTTACTTGTGGGTACTGGGTGACTGTTGAAAATTGCCATCTCAGCTCCTTAGAGTGAGATTATGGTTCTTTTACTTATCTGTTACGTATATAATAATGAATAATGTCAGGCCACACCTGTGGGAAGAGGCTTTTGAAGCTTAGACGAAGAAAAAACCCTGGTGCAAGCACAAAACATGATCATTTCCCCCAGAGTGCTGCTACAATGGGTTTAGAAGGTGGACATCTAAGGAGATGTGGGACAGTGCTCACTGATGAAGTGCCTTTCACCTCTGTTTGCTCAAAGCCTCGTGCTGTTTGTTTTCTGGGTGGCTGGAGGATTATTCCACAAGCTCAGGGTCTCACCAGGTTCACTGATGGTAAAAGCATGTCCTGGCCTAGAAACCTTCCAAGCAGACAGGGCAGGAGAGGTGGCAGAAAGGACACCCAGGACATGATAATGGAAAACAATTTGCCTGGAGTCCCACAGCGGCAGACACTGGAAGGGAACTCAGATCTGCTCAATCCTATTCTTAGGCACAGCCCAAGCCAGTGCTCTGATGTGGGGAACAGGCAAACACAAGTGCCTGCTGTTAGAAATCCTTAATGGGAGGAACAGTCAAACTCTTTCTAAGGAGCTGGGAAGATTTATCTCATAAGGCTGAAAGAACATCTTATTTTGAGCTTATCTCTGTCTCCTGTTTGGTCTGTCCTTGCCATGTCATCTCCAACCTGCAGCTTTGCTGAAACCAGACAAAGCTTCTCCCATGCCCCAGCCAGCCTTTCTTCAATTCCTGCAGGGCTTGCCAGCCTGCTGTTTGTTCCATAATTGCTGCTTCTTGTGGTTTTGATGTCAGCCCTGAACATCTCACGGTTCTAACACGAAGCCGTGTCTGGTGTCTGCCAGGGTGTCCCATCCCTCTGAGCTGTTTCTGCTGGAATGAGCTTAACAGTTGCTTCCTGAGGAAGCAAAGCCAGCCAGATCTTCTTCCTGTGGCTGGATGGATCGACAGCACCTTGCTTTTAAAGAGGGAACCATAGCTGAGCAGAGAAGACCTTACCTATGATTTAAATGAGGTTTGATTTCTCTCTCAGAGTCCTTGGAGTCCTTGTGCCACTCATGAGCTCCATGCTTTAGTTCCTGCACTGTCCTGTGCTGATCCTGCTGCTGCTAAGCCTGAAGGATTTAGGGCTTTATCAATATGAATCACACACATGTGCAAGTTTCTCCTGACAACGAGTTCGGTCCTGTTGTAACTTGAGCGAGTATTCACTCAGACAAAAACAATTAACAGAAGAGCTGTTGCTTACAAATGTTTATTCCTAAGCCCTGATTTATTCACCATAGGTGGAGCCTTAGCAAGAACCACAAAGAGGAATGAACATTTCCAACCCTTTGTGTGTGCCACCTACCCTTATCAAGCCTTGCAAATCACAGCTGGAATGTGACCACAAATTGGGAGAGTGGCTGGTGCTGAGGGCCTTTGTGGAAGGGAGAAGCAAAAACCCCACAGCAGGTCATCCCTATCCCTGCCCCATTTTCCCAGCTTGGAATCCAAGCAGCTCCAGGGGAGCTTTGCTACCTCCAAATTTGCTGACTGTGCCACTGGGGCTGGTGACCAGAATACAGAGGGACCCTTTCACACAGTGCTGGATGTCAAGGATTAACTGGTTCACCTGCAAGGACTCCCTAGTCCCTGGCTATTCCATGACCCCAAAACTGGAGAGGATTCCAGGAGAACTGGTGTTTCTATGTGGTGCTGCAGTGTCAGTCTGGGTGCTCAGAAATTTGGTGGCACAAAACTGTCCCGTAATCAGGTGGTTCAGGCACATCTGTCCTTCTGCACTGCAGAATTAGTGCAGAATTCAGCCTCTGCCATGGGTCTGTCTGCTACAGACCTACAGAGATGCTGTGCTTCAGTGTTGGGAAAGATCCTGCTGTAGAATTAGGAAACTCTGCTTGCTTCATGGTGCAGACAGAGCTTAAGAGGAGAGGAATGCAAACAAGCCAGTAGACACACACCTACTAGTTAGAGCATTTAGCAAGCAGTGGAAAGGCTGATATCTCTGTCTCAGACAGAGAACACAGCAGCATCTTCCACTTTTCAGGAGCCTGGGGTGAGAGTCACTCACCCCCCTCTTCCTTTTACACCAGGGAAAGGCACAGGGACTCAGACAGAGCCATTTGCTCTGAGTTTCCACCCAGTGCTATTTGCTTATTTTACCCAGTAAACCTTTAATGCCTTCCCCAGATCCACTTTGCATTAGTTTCCTGCTACAGATTTAAAGGAAAAGGAACCCCTGCACCAGAATCAGTGCAAGAAACAGCCAAGGAAAAGTCTGTGAGGCCAGGGAATAACCATTCAATACTTGAGAAGTGAGAATTGTCTGCAGCAGCTTGTACACTGGAATAAAACCCCGTGGCCAGCTTGATTTATCAGCAGAACCAGAGCCCCCCTTGCAGACAGCATCCTTCATTTTGAAAGGGGATCCTTCATTCCAAACCTGTTTTACAGGCCTGTTCCCAAAAACGAGACAACTTCACCTCTGCCTGCCAGTGCCAGAGCTGAATAAGCTGGCAGTGAATACCCTGGCATCACCTCCCAGCACCAGCCCTGGTGCTCAGCAGGGCAGGTCAGCTCTGCTGAGAGGCACTTTGATTTTATTCTTTTTTTTTTCTTTGAGTCTTTACCTCTAAAGAAAGGTTCTCATTGTCCCTCGGGTGCAGGGAACTGCTGTGCAGGAATGGGAGCTGGGTGTTCCTGGTCTCCAGGAAGCTGCTTTTAAAAGGGACTTCACAGAGGCTGAACCAGGCTTTGAAGTCAAACCATCCCCAGAGGGATTTCCATCCTCTCTGTCTTGCTTTCACTGACCAGAGAGCAAACAGGAGTGTATCAGGATGGTGGTGTCATGGAATATCATGGGATCAACATGGAATGTCAGCATTCCACTGAGCCAGTGTGGCTGGGAGACCTTATCCACAGCAGCTGTGGGTCATCTGTGGATGCAGCTCAACAGAAATGCTCCTTCCCCTGATGTGGTGCAGTCACTGCAGGATGCTCTTCCTCGCTGGAAAGCTGGGAGAGTGACCTGCTGCAAACTGGGATTTGAGTAGATGTGCCTGTTTGCCTGCTTCCTGCATTAATGCCTCTACAGTGAGGGCAGAATCCAGGGAAAATCCACCAGTCTGCAAGTCAGGAATTCTCTTCAAACTGTGCAGAGAGCCTTTTCTGGCCTCTGCTCCCACAGTGGCATTTTTGCAGGATGCTGCCTGAGGCTCCAGAGGTTTTAGCCCACTGAGGGGAACATGCAGTTGTAAAACCAGCAGAACTGATATCTCAAACAAATTCCTGCCTTCTCAGCCGTGTCACCTCCACTCCTGGCCCTGCACTGGGACAACTCGTTTGAACAGCCCTTCTCCAGCTTCATTACTGGGTTGGGATGTTGCTGGCAGTAATTAGCACAGCTCTCCCAGGCTGGTGACACAGGGGTGTTCCCTGATTCAGGCCCTGGGTTCCCAGAGCATTAAGGGCATGATGATGCTTGTACTGCTGCCTTGCAAAAACGAGTTGCATCATGATGCAAGACTCATAATCTCACATCTCCAGGTCCTCTCCACAGCACAAGGGCTGGGTTCAGTTGTGGATGTTTAGGTGTACACTCTGAACTTTCACTTAGGCCTCCTGGCTGGCCTAATTAACTTAGACTCTAATAGGGGATCCAATCTTAGCTCAAGAACTCTCAGTGCCATCATTTCTCAGCTTGCTCTACTCAAACTGAATGGTCTAAACTTGGATTTCTTAGATCTTCTTCATTGTCACTGTTATTTCTGCACTGCAGGGACTCCCCCTGCAGTGGGGGGTGTTTCTATTTTATCTGTCACTGGGATATTCTGAACCCCAGACTCACCCAATGGATTTGTTCTGGATGGTCCATCACAAGAGAATCAGGGTTTGTGCACCCTGGAAAAATCTGAGAAATACAAAGAAAGCTGGGAGAGAAGTTTCCTCATAGGGGATGAAGTTGAGGTGACTGTCCCTAGTACCTATAATTATATACAGATATATATGTGATATATTGGACAGCTAAACCAGCCTGTCAGCCAGTCACAGACTGGCCAGAGTCTTAAAAACATCATGAAATATTGATGTGGTCCATCTCCAGAGCACCCTTAGGAATCCTTATGCCCATGTCACCAGTTCTTGCACTATTCCAGAGTCTCCCTGGACCTCCTTTGAATACTTCTTTCTATGATTTGGGGGTTTTTTTGGTTGTATTTTTTTAATGTTTGTAGTTATCACACAACCACACCTCCCTTCACCTCCCCTGCCCTTGCTGGTGTCTGTGCTGGTGTTTCCTTTTGCCATCAGGAGGGATGTTTTAACCCCTGCCAAACCTGGATGAGTGTGGTATTTGCATTCTGGCTATTGGAACTATCTCTGTAATTTCCATTTGCAAGTCATAAATCTCTCACTCTAAATTGTTGTGTGGGTCTGCCCTTAAATAGCTGTTACATCCCATCCCAGAGGCACCCAAACTATCTTTCTGGGAAAAGGGATGTTACAACTGCAAGGAGCTCAGTATCACTTTTGAGCAAGTAATAGTTTCCAAAATTCCTTGGAGACCCATCTTAATTAAAAAGGGCTATAAATGTATCATGTTGTTATCATCACCTTCCAGCCATCACCTGACTTTTTTTTCCTGTTATCTTTCTCTTCAAATCCCCTGTGTTTGGGAGTGTCTGTGTGGCTGTGAAAGGTCTCCTCTCCTCCAAAAAATCCCTCCAGTGCTTCTCTGTATGATTTCACTTGCATCCTTGCCATAAGAATATCCTGATATTTAGGGATGAGGAGGGAAATAATTACTCAGGAGATGTGCCTTTTTAACTGCTTTGCTAACAATTAATACCATGTACATGTAGTTCTGTGGCTCCAGAACACAACTTGCATTTTAGTGTGATTTCTCACATTGCTAAATGCAGTGCAGTGGAAAAAAAATGATCTAAAATGTTTTTATCTCATTGCATTTTCCTGCTGTGCAAAGAGTCTTGATGCAGAGGACATTCTCACATGAAAAAATCACGGATTCCTCCAAGTCACTGTCTTGGAAATGTGAAAACTATTGGATCAAACTCAAGTCTTTACTCTTTTGATCAGGAATAGAGAAAATATTCTCGTCTTGAAGCCTGTGTGGTTGCCTGATGAATCTGTACCACAAAACCCTTTCATTTGTACCCTGATAAAGATGAGATTCAGCTCATGACCTCATTCAGTTCACTCCTGAAGGCTGGCAGGGTGTTTGGATCATATTTAGAGAGCCAGTGCTCTCCTAACTCCCAACAACCAGGACAGTGACAGTGTGAAGATGCAGCTTCTCTGGCCCTGAGACAATTCTGAGTGCATTTCCCTTTTTGGTTCCCCCTTTTCTTGTGTTTTACAAGGGCAACAAAGCAACTGTGGAACTGCTTTCCCTCTATAAATGGAGATTTCCTAAATTGGAGCAGCTGTGCCTGATTCCAGCTCGAGGGGATGCTCAGACTCTGCTGGGACTGGCACCAGGACAGGAGCCCTGATGGGCTGGTCTCCTGCTCTGGGCTGCTTGACAGCTCCTTGCCTGCTCTCCATCCTGAATGGAGAACTGGAATGTTTTCAGCTCCCACTCTGAGGGTGACTGTGATCAGTACAGACCCAGATTTCCGTGTTCTGTTCCATTCTCGGACAGACAGCTGGGTGAGTCGTGTGGGAGCAGATTTATCCCTCCAGTACCTCCCCTGCCTCTAATTGTTGTTCTCAATGTGAGTGGTTTTGGGTCATGCAGCCATTTGCCACAGGAGCAGCAGGTTCACAGGACTTTTCTGTCCCAGCACAGCCCAGCTGCAGCACACGGGTCATTTCTGCCAACTGGGTAGTTCCTCAAGAGCTCTGGGGTGAGTGTCCCACAGCCAGATTGCCTGTGGTCATAGCTGTGCACCCATGAGACACGGGAACACCTTGGGATGCGTCAGCAAAGGCTTTGTCATGACGTGCTGGGCAGGGAGGTGGTGACTGTGAAGGGCCCAGGGAGGGGCTGCCTGGAATTAACGGCACAGGGCATCCCTGACAGCCTGGCCCTGGGCATCCCTGACA